AAAACAGCAACAACATCAATCCACTGACGAAGAACAAATTAAAATATACCAAGCAAGAAAAACTTGTGTTTTCCAGTCTAGCCTGTTGGGGCACCATGTCCTGTCTCCAATGTCCACCCTCATCATTCGGCAGGGAGTTTTTGAGGGCTGTTTTTTTGTTTTTGGGAGGGGGGGAAGATTGGAATTGATGGGTACAAAGAAATCTATTCTGGAGGAAATCCTAGCAGCACCTGCTCAACTCAAATATGCTTACACCTATGATGTGACAATCTTCCCTCTAGATAAGCACCCTAGAAAGAAGTCCTCACATGACAAGTGACAAGACATTCCGGGCATCGTTGGTGGTGACAGCTTAAAGCTGGAGGAGGCAATTCACCCGAAAACAGTGTCTGATTAAGCAAATATAAAAAGCACATACTATGGAATTCTAGTAGCAACTAAGAATAAGAAAATAATGCACAAAGAAAGATCATAAAATAAAATGAATGACATAAAATAATTTTTGTATAGAAAGAGAAAAAATACCCAATTTATAGCAAAACTGCTCTTAAAAAGATCACTGATGCGCTACTTCCATGGCTTGCAAATAGGCCTACTCCCACCTCCATAATCAAGTTAATTTTTCCCCCTAAGAACTTTGAAAAATAGGAGTAAATAAACAAAGATCGAGAAATTATCCAAATGGCTTATTACCAGGGATTCCCATGGTTTCCTTTAACATAAGTGCTAAACCAGAGAGGGGCTCAGAATTAATTTGGCCTTTGATCTTCCAAAACATATCAGTGCCCAAAAGGTGCCAAAGAGAGGGAAAAAACAGCCCTATGTTCTCGTGGGAAAATGATGTTATTCAAAACCCATATCAAATCCAATGAATTGATCGTTTTCACTCAGTTCTAAAACTAAGTAGAAAGCAGTATTAAACCAGTTAGGAAACTATCCAAATCTCTTACACCACTGCTTCAGAAAGTCTCAGCTATTTTTCTAGTTTCAATTCATCAGGATTCTATATTGATATTTTAGAAAATATTGGAAAAAACTACTTAAGTCTACTTGAGGGTTGTACCTATTATTAGCCGAAAAAAATTTCACATATTTTCACTGTCACCATAGTTTCTTATAGATTGACATGGGGTTTAGAACATTTCTCAAAACAGACACAAATAACCAATCATAATAATTGACACATAACGACCACCACCCTACCCCAACCCCCAGCCCCAGGGGGATTAAAAACAGAAACCATGAGGGAAGGGAGATAGTGGTTAAGTGTAAGAAATGAAAATAATAATTATTTATCATTTATCAAGGGGTCACAAGGGTGGAGGGGAGGGAGGGAAAAGGAGGAGCTGATACCAAGGGCTCAATAGAAAGTAAATGTTTAGAAAATAATGATGGCAACATATGTACAAATATGCTTGATACAATTGATGTATGGATTGTTATAAGAACTGTAAGAGCCCTAATAAAATGCTCATTTAATAAAAAAAGACACAATTTGAATTTAATGAAAATTTCCAGGAAAAGCTAGTTATTGGTAAAACGTTAAAACTGCTGTTTTACATTCCCTTTCAGAACCAAAGATAAAGTTGAGGATTGTCTTTCTTCACTGGAAAGCAGTATTAAGAATTTGTGGAGATTAGAACAATCTTCTACAATACAGGACAAGTTAATATAAATGTGGCTTGGGAGTCCCTGCATGATAAACTCTACATTATCACCAAGTACAAATATGTTTAAATAAGCGAGGAAATTAAACTTTATTTTTAAAATGAAGTCAGCAATTAAGTTTTACTAATAGGGGAGAGACTAAAATCATCAGTTTAAGAACCTGTTCGTGGCATCCAAAAGTTCTGTACACTTGCTTCAATTTAACATCTAATTAAACCAAACCAAATCTACTACCATTGAGTTAATTCGGATCATATAGACCCAACAGTGCTTTTGGAGGCTACATATTTTTACAAGTGCTGGCCAACCTCCTTTCTCCCAAGCAGCTGCTGGTGGGTTCGAATCACTAGCCCCGCACATAGCAGTCTAATGCTTAGAGCCACCCAAGGCTCCTTCCTCAAGATGTAGCTCATCTCAATCTGGTACTGTGGTTCAAGTCCATGCAGTGTCAAAATGACTAAAACTAAGCTTGGAAAGTGTCAGTAAAACGCTAGACACATGTAGTTGGGCAGTTGCTTCTAAGTTTAAAACAACACAGTACTTGCTCCCTAATCTCAGATTACCCAGGTTCCTCACACTTCGCTCGCGTGAACCCTTCAAAATCTTTGTTCCTCCCACGAAGCCAGATATCCTGCCCTCCCCTAAGGGGTTACAACTGTACTAGATGTCGTTTCTAAACTATTACCCATCACCTCCCAACCCTATTATTATTGGTGGAACCAACTTATTAGATTTCATTCCTAAACTACCATTGATCACCTTTCAACGCAATATTCCTTTGCCCTCTCCGCAGTTAACCTAATCAAGCTAAAATCCCCAAACTGGAAGCTTCAAAAAATTCATGGAAAAACTGGAACTGAAAGATAATGGAATTTCCCCACGAACTTTATGAAACACCACCGTACAAACGAGTTACCTCCTAGGACATTTAAAAACACACACACACACACACACACACACACACACACAAAGCTGGAGGACTTGAAGACATAGAAGATGCATGAACATTTATTAATTCAAATTAAG